CTAACTTTTCCGTTTGCCGAGATAATAAATGAAAAGCCAATCTCTGCTGTTTCACCATATATAAGCAAATTGTCTGAACTGAACTAAACAATGTGATTTTGAGGAAAAACAGGGCTTGATGCAGACATTTTTAATTAAATTCTGTACAGACAGTGCGCAATTTAGCTTTCCACTAACATGGAGCACTCAAGCTGGCAGATTTATAAACCCTGCATTAGCTGTTAGAGTTACAGCAGGTCTTTTTATCCAACATGAGGTCAGTTTATTTTCAGTGCAACAAATCTGCAAAACTGTTGGATTTAATACGTAAGATAAACTTTTTGTCGGTTTAAAATGCGGAAAAGAGAAGTTAAACTTTTGTCTTCAGACTTGTTAATATCATTTGCCATCTAGTTATTTAACTACTTGACTTTACTTCGAAATAGTTAGATGTAATAAATTGCTTTGAAAGCCAGGTGAATCCAAACAACCTTGCTTTAGCTTTAGCCGTCACACTATAAGGAAATTACCATTTTGCCCTACATATCCACTGTTTAATTCATTTGTTACATACGTATGTACCTAAACGCTTTAAATACCACAAAGTTTAAGCAATATATCAGTACATTCAACAGAAAGCAAATCGCTCTAATTAAACCAATATAAAGTAAGCCACCCAACTGTTTTTCAGATCCAGTGCAAGTGCTTGCTTTTTTTTCTAAACCCATTAAAGGCCATTACGAATCAATCGATTTTCATTGAAACCAAGCTAATTTACGCTGCATTTTCAAAGTAATATTTGTAACGGAAATACGCCCATCGATCCCAACTTTAAACCCTAAATAGCTAAAAATACGTTTTCTATAGCTGTGTAACACGAATAGCATCCGGTGCTTAAGATAAAGTATAAATACACCATTCTCTTGCGGTTTTATATTTGCATTGCTTGTTATGCTCTGTCCTTTGCAATTGACCTGCTCACTGTGCCATCCGTTAAGAAGCATTTATCAATGAATCTACAACATCTGTTGTACTAAAGAACTATTCATTATTTACTCATCTTTATTTGAATGGAGGGTGTAAGTTAACATGCTGATTAACTGACTTGAATGAATACATTAAAGGATAATTATTCACATTGGACAGTGCATTCAAATATCTCTAATTGCCCTGACATTTACTTCAAATTTCACGTCCAGTATCCATAAAAAATTGGTAATAATTAGAAGTGAATGAGAACGACGCAAAAATTCATTAAAATATTACAGTTTTAATTTTACCATATAATTTACTTGAAATTCTTGGAAAGATGTGTAATTACGACTACGACAATTTATGTTTTTAACAGAGCAGAAAAAATGAGCGGGTTTGTTGGTAAAAGAGACAATATTGTCACGGGAGAATTGCTAATGTGATTTCCTGCATGTGCATGATATGTATTTTATGACTGGTTTTAGTGCTTTCTATATAAAATAACATAATAATGTACTCAGTAATAACATAAAATAATTGGAATAATATACCTTGGATAATATATTTTTTTCACATTATGGTAATCACACACAGAGAGTACAGTCCTCATGTATAAAAATATTATAAACTGGAAATGAAAAGTATTATTCCTCAAATATGGCAATTACATATTTTTTTATTATCATAACGCACTTTTCCACTCGCAGGTATATTTTTTAAAAGCTTTAAGGAAAACCCTCAAGTAGGTCTGGTTATTTTCAGTCGGATTCTATTGAAAGCAAAATACTGAATGGTATCACTTTTCTATATTCAATTCAACAAATTGCATTTTTTGTAAAAATTATGATGGAAATATTTGCAGACRACATCAGAATTACACTACTATTTAAAGTAGATCGTAAAACTATAATTAATCGTTGATAGGTTTAAAGTTCAAAGCGCTGTTTAACCGGAAATCTAATAGTGACTTCAAACAAAACGCAATTACGCTTAACCGAACCTGTGGAAAGAATATAAGTGTGGTAAAGTTAAAGTTAATAAGTTATTTATACWTGTTTTCCCAACTTACATTTTTTTATTAATGATCGGYGTATTATTTTTTTCCGAAGCAAGCTAATATAAAAAGTGAGCCTCGATCCGAAAGACCGATTTGGTAGTTAGCCTTTTTCGGGAGAAATCTGGCTTATTATTAATAATATAGAAAAAGACAAATTGTACCTATGAGCGTTGATTGAAGAGTATATACTCGTTGACGCGATTCATGTTTTCGAAACTTTCTTATTGGGTAACTCGCCTCAAAAATTTGAGTTGAAAACAAAATTTCCTCACGTCTATGTATTGATAAAGAGTACTCTTATTTCACAATAAAGAACGAATTTTTAAATTTGTAAAAATTAGTTCGATAGTGTTTTGCGTAAAATGTCAATTATTTCACTTTCACTTAAATATCATTGTTCAGTAAAAAGAAAATAAAAAAATTATTAAGAATATGGCAAAATTTAGATATGTTTCTTTGGACCGCATGAAGCAACACAATGTGCCTTAATGCCAAAAGGCCTTAATTTAGTAAAATGAATACATACACTTTCTTCGTTTTTTATTAATGATTATTTTGCTAAAATAGTTGAAGCATATTTTCACCAAATGAATCAACAAAGCAAACGTAAAATTAAAGAATGTGATTTAAGTTAAAAATTGATAGTTTGTAAAAAACAACAACTCAAATCGAATTTTTCCTTCAGTATTGTTTAACTGTTTCTGAATATACTTTTTTAGGTACCTTTTGATACGGATAAAGAAAGAGTTTCGAAATTAATTTCTTTCCTGATTATAATTTTTTTCTTAGTGCTGGAGCCTAAAAGAGTAAAATAATTCGTTCTTTATTGTGAAATGAGAGTACTCTTTATCGATCCGTATTAAAACAATATAAAAGTTATGTTTAAACACAAAAGAAGCATTGCTTATTTATTTTATAAACGAGAAACGAAATTTTCAGTAACATATTTTATGTTTTCATTGATACCTATAAAATCTGTTAATAGAAACACAATGATTTTTCTGCGATT